TATATATATATATATATATGTATGTATGTATGTATGTATAGTTGAGTGTAAGAGTGGGAGCTCTAGTCTACAATCATAATGAGAGAAATGAAAGTATGATTTATCAACCAAGTCTTGATTTATATGTCATCGTTCAAGTTCGACAATTATGCATGTTGGTCATGATAAAGAGCTTTTTAAAAAAATACATTGATCTACCAAGCTATTAAGTATATAGTATTGTTTTCCTTAAATTTTCTCAACTATGCTTACTTTATAAGTGTTCTTTTTTTTTTTTTTTGAAATTTGAACGAATTTAGCTATAAATACAAATACATTGCATTATATAAGACCTTGAATTCAAGATCTCTTCAATTGGAGAATTAAACTCTAAACTAATTTGCTAAATAGCATGTATTTAGTTGATAAGTTTATCATAAAACTAAAGTAACACTACTAGTGGGACAAGCTAAATTGCTTTAGCTTTTGAAACTTCACAATATCAATATAATATCCATGTTACTTTTTTTTTCCTCAACATTTGCGCCATGATAAAAGAGAGGATAACATTGAAAATGGCCATGTATGCAACTTGCGCTTGGAACCATTGTTTACTCATTATAGAATCATCTAAAATACTGAATCTGCATTTTATGTTTTACTAGTGTTTGTAAGAATGCGTCATAGCTTCTAATTTCCATATGTAACATACACTATCTTATATAAGTAAGAATGGGAATGTTTAAGAGATCAAGGATAGGAGCTGTGTTGCTCATAAGTTCAATCAGAAAAACGATAATAATATTCATATGTTCTCAGAATTAGGGTGGGTAAGAACATCAAATTTTTAATTTTTTAAAAGTATTGGGGAAAAAAATATAATGAATGGAGACAAATCATTACATAAGAAAAAAAATATTAAATTTTACTATTTATATAAAAATATATATATATAAATTACAAAATGTGTAAATATCCTCATTGAGCATGAGAAAGTATTTACATCACGAGTCCTCATGCAGTTTCGTGTGCAGATGTTAGTATTTAGGTGTTACTGGTAGTACTGTGGTGTAATTTTTAAAATAACATCATAATAATACCAATAACACCTCTAATAAAACCATCCACACTTAATCATTCGGATATAATATTTTTACCCTTGAGCATAACCTAATTTCCGACCTAACTAAAAGAGATGAAATTTAATGAAGCACAGTCGTTCTCCTTATTAAATTCTTACTTCTCCCCTTGAAATAAGAATTCAGATTATAAAAATGCGCATAAGTTCAAAAATAATGCATGGACAATTCTATTAACATGTGCCTTGTTGATGGTTATAGATAATTGAGCAAACACTATAAAAGCTCGAACCCCTAAGAAAATTCTGCTCTACTACCATTCTAAGCATATGTGATCCTTCTGAGACACAAAGATACAATTTAATATTCATAATGGGAATTATGTTATCACATAATCAAACATGCAATTTCAGTAGCCACCCATAAGGTTACCTTTGAACATTTCTAAAATAATTAAATGAATTTTCTGGTAATGTCAAACCTAAAGTTAGTTCTTAATGCAATTAATACATGATAGCAGCCATTGCAATTATCCGCATCAATATATTCTAGTGGAAACATTCATCTTATAACCTTATAGGATATATTAAGCTTATGACATAACGCACAAACTCGTTTTTCCCAACCACATTTTCCGTGTTTTATCACCGCAAATATGCCCGCACTTTCTGCGTGCGTTCTGTAGTTTTGTAACAAAAAAGTCAATTTTATTATCTGAACCCAAACAGAATCCAAAAGACCCGCGCCCCAAAAACAACCGAAAATCCATAGGCAGAGAGGGTGTAAATAGGGAGAGATTATTGCGTGAACCGAAAATCCATAGGCAGAGAGGGTGTAAATAGGAAAATAGGGACTCCCGAGTCCAATGAATTACATCCATGTGAAGCTGCTATGAAAAAAAAAATTCTGTCCGGTAACACAGGAAAATATTTTTCCGTGTTATTCTGCGTTGTTAAGATATTATTGTGGTGATATTAATGTGTTGTTGTGTTATTATAACACTGGAAATATTCCTAGAACATAATAATACGTGAATACCACAAAAATAATATCTAAATAACGTGGAATAACATGACAGAATATTTTTTTGTGCTAAAATGAATATTTTTTATTTTTTTATCGCTTTCACGTGATGTGATTTTATTTGACTCGAATGTACCTCTATACCTCTATATGTTGGCCGTGGGTTAAAAAGATAATTAACGTAATATTTTCTTAAAGGGAGGAAAGAAGACCAAGTCAAGAAAAGACGTTCACGATTGCCGGTGATCTTTTCTCCGTCCCTCCTAATTTAATCACCACCGCCCATTTCTTGTTGCCTTCTTCTCTCTCTCTCTCTCTCTCTCTCTCTACATTTCTTCCTCCTCCATGTTGCCATGTTCCAAATAGCTGGAACCAGCTATCCTTCTTCTACCCCAATTCTCATGTGATTCCTCTTCTCCTCCACCCATTCTTAACCACACCACACCCAAAATAGCAAACCTACGTTTTCTCTGCACATCTCAATACCTAAATCGTTAGACAAAGCGAGGGAGAGAGATAGGTATTTGCATAGACATGGAGAGAAACCGAGAGGAACAGAGAGGAAGGAGATAATCCCACCAGCACTGCACACCTCAATGTGCAGTGCAATCCAACGCTATCCACCAAACAAAATCGAACTGCAAAATCAATGGCTCAACTTCCCCCAAAATTCCCCTCCAACACACCAACCATATCCCCCGACGCCCTGTCCACTGTCAGCCCTCCCCGTCTCCCATCCATGTCCTCCTTCTTCGTTGCCTCTCCTTCCGACGTGCCCGCCGACTCCTCATGGGTCGACGAATTCTTCGACTTCAACTCTGCCAAACGCGGCTCCCACCGCCGCGCTATTAGCGACTCCATTACCTTCCTCAGTCAAGACGGCGTTGCAGCGGACCCTAATTTTGATCGGATTGATGACGATCAGCTGATAATGTCGATGTTCTCCAATGATCCGCAACCGTCTTCGACGCCGCCCTCAGATCAACAGAGCATCTTCGAGCAAGATAAGCAAAACACGACTAATGCGACGTCAGGGGTTGATCAGTCTGAGGAGCAGAGTGCGAGTAATAATGCTGAAACGCCGTTGGTTGGGGTGGCGGTGAAACCCGCCGTTACATCGTCGGCGGCGAAAACTCCCAGACACATTGTCGACCCCAAGCGCGTCAAGAGGTGTGCTTTTCAAAACATAGGGAATTTACATACTCAGCACCCAATTCTTATTCTTTTATCTATCTCGCATCAAAACTGTCATTTTTATACATCTAGCATCTAATTTATCTTTTGCAACACTCTGCAACACTGAAATCTATATTTTTTTCATACGTAGGATGCTAGATTTATAAAAATTCAAGCTTTGATGTGAGATAGGTAAATGCATAAGAATTAGAAGCTATTTATGTAAATTTCCGAAACATTAGACTTACATGAGATCAAAATTCAATTTTGTATTGAATTTTAAAACTCATTTTATATTTTCATTTCACATAGTCAGTCTGTTTTGTCTTTGGCATACAAAATAAAAAAAAGCGAATTTCATGATCACAAATTACTGTAAATATTCAGAAAGAGATTATCTTGTTCAGTTCTACTTAACGTTTTCATCCACAAAAGCACAACTTTTCTTAACTTGATTAAATCCACCTAATCACTTCAGCATCTTACACAGAATCTGATCAAACCTGTAGTTTCAGCAGTACTGATTTGAATGAATATGTGCGAAATAATCAGAATTTTGGCGAACCGGCAGTCTGCTCAGCGATCGAGGGTGAGAAAACTGCAGTACATTGTGGATCTTGAGAAGAATGTGGCCACCTTGGAGGTTGGTGTAAAAAAACCCCTGTTAATCTTTAATCAAAATTCATTAATTTGAAGTATTTCGAATTAAAATTAATAATATAATGCTGATTATTTTGGAATGCTTGCGCGTAGGCGGAAATTGCGGTATTGAAGCCTCAAGTGGCTTCGATCGATCAGCGGCGGTCGGCCTTAAGCGCCGGAAACAGCCAGCTGAAGCAGCGCATTGCTGCTCTTGCCCAAGATAAGATTTTTAAGGATGGTAAGCTTTCTCTCTCTCTGTTCTCCCTCAATATTTACTAAGAATATTAGGTATCTAGTTTACTGTAATTAATCCATTGGATCGTTCATGTGGAATTCAAATGACAAAAGACTTTTTTTTAGGGCAAAATTATAATTTCTTAAGAGATGACTAACGTGAAAATAAATTCTTCTGTAAGAACTTATAATCAGGATATTTTGGATTCATGATTATGCTGGTGGAGTAACACTAGATAAAAAACTATTTGTTAACTTCCTTTAATGTTTGTGTAAAACAATTAATAATGTATATTTCATTTTTTGTGAAGGCTTGTGATAGTAAATTGATAGGATTCTTGGATGCTTATACTAGTTAGTGCCTTAGTGGTCAGTTCCTCTAAGGATTTGATTAGGCTTTAAATTAGAATAGATACATGACCCAATAAGATCTGATCATTTCAAAATCTTCTATGATCATAAACAACTTGGATCTCCAAAAATGCTTTCGTATGCATTCAAGATAAGGTATTTTCAATATCATTATGTTATATATTATAAGAGTAAAGTGCCAAAATAGTCCCCGACTATTATAGCTTAGTCTTAGACCTTATAAAAGTGTCAGTGGGTAAAGTGCCAAAATAGTCCCCGACTATTTACATGACATAGCTTAGTCTTAGACCTTATAAAAGTGTCAGTGGTCCCCAGATTATTTAAATTAGAGTTGACATAGTCCCCTTTGAGGGCTTTTAAAATTTAATTTTAGCACTTTTATAAACTCTAGGAATAAAATGATCATATAAATAGTCGGGTACTATTTTTGCACTTCTCTCTATGTTATAAAAATAATATTGAAATAACGTCCACTTTTTAGCACATTATTTTTCCGTATATGCATCAAGTAAAAGAAATGTAGTTCTATTTATTATTTATTAAATCATATTTCTAATAGATTTTAAATTTATTAAACTGATATTTCAAATTATATATTTCAAATTATATATATATATAATATATATATATA